GGGAATTCAACATTCCGAGATCCACAGTGTCAAGAGTGTGCCGAGAGTATCTAATTTCAGGCACAACATCCCACCATGGACAGCGCAGTGGCCGACCACCTGCACTTAACGACCGAGACCAGCGACGTCTGCGTAGAGTTGTCAATGTTCACAGACAAGCAACACTGCGTCAAATAAGCGCAGAAATCAATGTGGGACGTACGAGGGAGATGTCCGATAGGACAGTGTGGCGAAATTTGTCTTCCTTTGCCTATGCCAGCAGAGGACCGACTCGAGTGCCTTTACTGACAGCACGACTTCGCCTGCAGCGACTCTCGTGGGCTCGTGAGCATATCGGTTGGTCCCTAAACGAATGGAAAACCGTGGCTTGGTCAGATGAGTCATGATTTCAGTTGGGAAGAGCTGATGGTAGGGTTCGAGTGTGGCGCAAACCCCACGAAGCCATGGACCCAAGTTGTCAACAAGGCACTGTTCAAGCTGGTGGTTTTTCCATAATGGTCTGGGCTGTTTTTACATGGCATGGACTCGGTCGTCTGGTGCAACTGAACCGATCATTGACTGGAAATGGATACCTTCAACTACTTGGAGATCACTTACAGCCATTCATGGACTTCACGTACTCAAACAACGATGGGATTTTTATGGATGACAGTGCGCCACGTCACCGGGCCACAATTGTTCGCGATTGGTTAGAAGAACATTCTGGACAATTCCAGCGAATGATGTGGCCACCTAGATTGCCCGACATGAATCCCACCGAACATTTATGGGACATCATCGAGAGGTCAGCTCGTGCCCAAAACCCTGCACCGTCAACACTTTCACAATTATGGACGTCTATAGAGGCAGCATGGCTCAATATTCCTGCAGGGGACTTCCAACGACTTGTTCAGTCCATGCCACGTCGAGTTGCTGCACTTCGCCGGGCAAAAGGAGGACCGACAAAATATTAGGAGGTATCCCATGACTTTTGTCACTTCAGTGTAGTTTTCTCTGTCAATAGAAACTTTCAGATTTCTGTTACTAAGGTTTATATAAAGCGAACTGTTTTATTTAATGTACATCTATTGATTTTTCCGGCGCAACTAATACTTTTTCTGAAATACAAAGTTAACTAATGAATGTAATCATTTTAAAGGATGCGACCCTTCCCTAACCTTCACTTCCGCAAAGTGGCTCCCGAGCCTAGGAGTTGCTCATCCCTGCTCTACAATAATTCTGCAAATGATCCTTGAACAATTGTTCTTAACTGGTGAGCAAATTCCGATTAAAATGAGAGAAAAGCATTTATCCATATGGCATTATCACAAGCTATAAGCCAGCTTTGGAGATGGCTTTGAAAACGCTCTATAATTCTATTAGAAATCTGAAGATAAGCTGTAGTTTTAGTACGATTTTTATCGTTTAGTTACCTAAAGGTTTTGAAATAAAATCAATTTAAAATAAGAACTTGATCTTTTGTCACAGTTGGTTCACAGTTCCTGTCCCAGCTGACGGACAACCAACTATGACATCAGGGACAGGGACAGGGAAAAGTGGACGGAGCACCAGAACTTCGTCAGTGACTTTTACAGGTGTTGCTCCGCCGCACTACTGTACCCCGCTGGGCTTTTGGTTGGCCCGCATCGGATGCTAGCCTACCAAGCCATTTACAGAAATTTTACATTAATGTTAGACTTACGTATTGAATATACAATTACAAAGACACAGTATACAATTATTACAAAGAAATTAACCTATTAACAAAAGTTGGATCATGGCAGATTAATATAACATAATTACTTCGAACATACATCATGCAAACTTTCATTGTACATCGAACATTGTACATTCTACTTCATACAAACAATATATTTACATTAGTATATCTAATGACATCGAATTACAATAACCATCTTTTTAAGGAACTAATTGGGAAGAATATTTTTGTGCATCTCATTGTACTTAGTTGTATTCCTAAGGCGAATTATCTTATTAATACATTTCCTTTAATTTTTTAACTTGTTACACACAATTGCATCAGCACTGAAGTCTTACATTATTATTTTTGTAAATTAATGCATCATAAACACAGAAAATATACATTAGAAAATCACATAATACTTACATTTACACTAATATATCTAATAGAGTCGTATATTATTTTTTAATTAATGATTCAATTATTACAAGATTTTTCCCCCTCATCTCCTAATACAGTCCAAATTCTTAATGTAATTATTTTGTAAAAACTATTCATACCATATTTAGCCTATTTCCAGACATTTGTAATATTTCTGAAATCTTGCATTATTTTTGCAAGTTATGGAATAAGAGTTATTTATACAGATGTGATAACATCTTGACATATGTCTTCTCTTTTATATGAGAAAAGTTTCTTCATAATAGAGGAAACCTTTTGTTGTAATTGAGGGATCGTTAGCAAGCATTTAATGTACTCAGACGTAATTTGTGACCTTTCTTTGCAGTGTAGCTCTTTTGTGAGCTGGCACTTAAAAATATAGTGCTCTGGATCTCCCTTTTTTCCACATACGCACTTGTCTGAATCGTTCAAATTTCGTGCAAATTAGTACGTGAGGAAAGGACCATGTCCAGGTAAGAAGATGTTGATGAAGAAGTTATAAGAGATTGGATCATATGTGGGTTTCTTGTAGAAGTTAAAAATCCTTCTACCTACTTCTGCATTTTCCCATTGAGCTTGCCATTTCTTTAATGTAATTTTTTTAACATATGTTTCGCATACGATTTAGGGAATGGGACATTGATTGAAGAGAGAGATGGGTCTTGAGCTGCATTCTTAGCAAGCGCATCTGCCCTTTCATTTTGGCATGTCCAGCATGCGCTTTTACCCACTTTATTTTTATAGATGTTCTGTTGTGCTGTGATATTAAATCGTATATATCTTGTACTATTGATGATTTGTTTCTTGCATCATCGACAGCTCTAATTGCCGCTTCGCTATTACTGTAGATGGTAACATATGTTAGATGCTTTTGATGAGACTATACAATAGCGTGTTTTATGGCTGAAAGCTCAGCTTGGAAAACGCTGCTGTTGTTTCTTAGGTGTCCTTTCCATTCTGTTGTTTCTTGTACTGAGAGGAGTGCAAAGAACGCGCATCTACTTCTTCGTTTAACTTTGACCCATCTGTGTACACGACTGGAAATGAAGGTACACTGAGGGTGTTTTCTTTTGTAGATATTCTGAGTTTTGCGTGTACTGCAGGGTGTCTTAGGTAAGGATTTCGTGGCTGTTCAAAATCAAGGGGGCACAGGTTTTGATCTTCTACCTCTATGTTTTTCTTGAGGTGGAATAGTGTGGTTAAGTCTGCATCTTCTTTTGCTTTCAGATGGAGGGGTGGGATTCCTGTTAATACACAGAGAGCTGCCGTTGAGGTAGTTCTGTATGCTTTTGCTATTTGTAAGAGGAAGGGGCGTTGGATCGAAGATAAGAGTCTTTTCTTTTTCACTGTCATAGAGTGAGCCCATGCTGATGCCCCGTAGAGGATTATTTTTTTCGAACACGGTATTATAAAGAATGTTTTGCATCCTCGACATGAGGCCCCACGTTGTGTCTTGCATCCTTGCGAGGGCTCTAGAAATAGTTTGGGTCTTCTTCCGAATGTCCATGAGGTGTGGGATCCAAGAAAACTTTTGGTCAATTTTCAATCCAAGAAATTTAATTTCTTTTGAGATCTTGATTCTTCTATTATTGATTTTAATGCAAGGTAGCCTTTGTAGCGATTTGCTCAAAAATACATCCGTCGAGCAGGAGTCGAACCAGCGACCTATGTATAGCTGAACATAATACCACTACAGTCCACCGCTCTACCAAATGAGCTATCAACGGTTACAACGATGTTACGGTTATCGACGGCTATCGACGGCTATGACGGTTATCGACGGCTATGACAGTTATCGACGGCTATGATGGTTATCAACGGTGATCGACGGCTATGTCATCAGCAAGAACGGGTGAATCTCGAAATTAACCCGTTCCGTAAGCATACTGCATTTCGGAAGTTTTATTTGGTATCAGTATAACTTTTGGCCTGCTAGAGAAACTGTATGTAACAGTTAAGAAATAATTGTTACATTCTGAGTGGGGTATGGGTCCTATTAAATCAACTTGGACATCTGCAAAACATGTATAGTATAAAGATACTTGCGGTGTTTAAGTATGTTTATGACATTGAGTACTTTGGTAGGAGCTACACTTTTTAGTGCAGATTTTTATAATTATTTTCATATTAGACCAAAAATAACGAGCTGTAGTAAGTTCTGTTAGAGTTAAAATTACGCGACAGGAAATATTTTAAAGAACGTAACGGGTGAGGTTAGATAAAGGGCATTGTTTTGGTACAGAGATTCAAAATTTGTATAAATAGTAAAAATGCCTCTATTATGGAGGTATAGTGCAGAAAAATACTTTACAAATATTGAAACATACTTTACAAATATTACAGAATTTGTTGTTGTTTTCCTGTTAATAATCTCGGTTGTTCTAATCACAGCCCGCTCACGAAATTTATCTTTGCTAGGAGTCAAGATTGCATCTGTCGTTGGCAACAGCCTTGGGCACCTACAAGTGACAATACGACTTCCCCCTAGTTTCGCCTTCAGTTTTTAAGGAAAGCATTCCGGGAGCAGATTCGAGGGTCGCTCCCCCTCTTCCACTACCAACAATCTCTGGAGTTGGTAGTGGAAGAGGGGGGCGACCCTCAAATCCGCTCGCTTCATATTTTCAAAGCCTCCATGTCGCACAGGCACTATACATTTAGAAACATTCATGCCTTGTCTGGGATTCGAACATAGAATTAAATAACGATAACTATTTTAAAGATTTTTCATTCTGTTTCTGGTATATAGATAAGCGGAATTCATCCCCTGAATATAACAAATTAATCAATATTTTAAGGGCATAAAGTTATTTTTATAGTAAACTGTATTAAAATAGACTTGTCTAATGAACTAAAATAATTTTTATGTGTCTCATTTCAGTTAATACATGTTCTAACCACAACTGACGCTATAAAATATGTTTGTTCTCCATTTGACCTTAAAAACAATCCTGACCATTTTACATATAAGGTATGTACCACATTTGTTTTATATATTTTTTTTTTTTTTTTTTGCTTTATGTGAAGTTTTCACCCATGTCTAAAATAATTTGAAATTTCTGGTACAAAAAGTCGTAAAAAAGTAAAATACAAATTGTAAAACGCAATGACGCAATGTTGAAGAAAAAGCCATTCATATTTCTTGACAAATAAATTTTCAGCGTTCAACAAAATGAATACAGGCTTTTCTATCGGGATTCGAAATTTTACTGAGTTGAATAAAATATTACGCAATATATAAGACTAGAACTTAAAACAAAAAAAAAAAAAATAAGCTACTGACACTTAAAAAAGGAAGAATGACTAAAGAGTTAGTCATCTGGAAACCTGGAAGTAAAATAAAGTTTGAAATTAGAACCCTTTATTAAAGTGGAAGAATTGAGAGTATGGAGAATATAAAAAAAAATATAATTTCCGATTGAGAATGTCTTGAATAATTTTTTCTTAAGCAAAAAAAAAAAAAAAAAAAAAAATACTGAATAATAAGCCTGTTAAAAATGGCGTATCATCAGCACAAGCCAAAATCTCGAATATATGCAAAACTTTTCTTTTGAAAACGACACTTTTAGAGTTTAACACTTCCTTGGTTTTTGAGGAAAATCGCGTCCAGGAATTGTTTTAGGAATACATGTCCAGGAATTGTTCTGAACAATTCCTGGACATGTATCTCACAGAATATATAAGTTTCAAGTTTCAACAATTATTTAATTTCTGGTCTAGAATCCTGTTGCGACAAATGCCGTAGGTTAAAAGATGAAAATATAACGTATCAAATTAGAAAAATCGTATTCTATCAAATACTATGACAAAAACTAATGTAATTCAGTATAAAGTATATGTGCTCTTAAGAGAAGAAGGATCTGATCTAATTGAAAATGCACTGCGATTTTCTGCAAAACAAACATTAATCTGAGTCTGAATTTTAGCTAATTATGTATTTCAATTTACAGTACTTTTCTTCTATTTATGTAGATTTTATACTTACAGTATGTACAGTCCATTCAATGAACTCCATTGGCACCATACCAAGCTTTCATAAGCAAATACAACTAAATTTTAACTATATAATTTTAGTGTGAGACGTTATTTATCTTCTGCCCTCACACAATTTGAACTCATCGGAAAATCATTGATAATCGCTTTTTCTTATGATTACAAAGTTAATTTTGAATGCCAGTTTTCCACATTGTAACATTAATCTGTAATAATGGTAATGGGGATTTCCAAGACCGTGGGGGCCCTAAGCTGTAGCTTGTTGAACTTGTAGATAAATCCTGCACTGATAATATGTTTACAGTAATAAATGAAATATGAAATATTTATTTTTCAAAGAAAGTGAAAATTATGTGGCGAACGTAATGAATCTTAAAATCACCTTTTATATCTCATATATTTATTGTATATGAATAATAAATTTCATATAGTACAGCACATATTTGTTGCAAATAAAATTTCATATATTTGTTTTGTACGAATAAGAAAATAAATTTTTATTATTAATTTCCCTTTAGGCCGCAACCCTTTGCTGGATCATTTGTATCGTAAAATACGCAGAATTTGCTGACACGGTAAGTTGTTCCTTAATATAGAAGTTTATTTATATAGCAAATAACGGCCATCATCTATAGAAATGTCAGTTCTGAAGAAAAATCAGCATAAACTTTATTTAATGAAAAAAATAAAATAAACTTTATTTAATGAAGTTTTAACAACGAACGTGGGTCAAAAATCTTACAGCTTATTGTTACCATAACTAATCAGCATTTTGCTGATGATTCTGCATTCATGTAGAAGGTCCTACATGTAGATTCACGTAGAAATTTTATTAAAAACAAAATTATTTGTTATTGCAGCAGCACATGCCCCATGCTATAGGACACAGATATTTTTTAAAGACATGTATTAATTTCTTCAACACATGTCTTTCTAATAATGCAGGCAAGAAAGTTAATAAGGGAAATTACATATTCAACTACACTGACTACCAATAAGTATTTGGACACCTGTAATAGAAAAAAAATACTAACTTTATTCAAAATCAATAGTTGGTAGAGCCTCGACGAGAGGTAATTACAGCGTGGACCGTCCGGGGCATACTTTCCACAAGTCTTTGTATGACAGCTAGTGGTATTTTCTTCCACTCGGCTTGGAAAAGACATAGAAGTTCCTTCGCCGATTTTGCACGGGTAGTGCATCCCTGAATTCGGCAATGCAACTCGTTCCAGAGGTTCTCGATAGGGTTCAGGTCTGGACTCTGGGCAGGCCAGTCCATTCAATGAACTCCATTGGCACCATACCAAGCCTTGGTTAACGTCGAAACATGACAACTGGCATTGTCGTCCGGAAAGTAACAGGGGTCCAACCCGTAAAACTGCAACAACGTAGGAAGCGCATTGTCATCCAAAATAGTGCAGTAGGCATCGGAGTTGAGTTTACCATGAATGGGGACCCAGCCCATACCAGGAGAAACACCCCGAGACCATAATTCCACCTCCGCCGAACTTGACTGTTGGCACAATGCATTCTGGCAGGAGACGTTCTCCAGGTAGATGCCAGACCCGGACCCTGCCATCCGATCGGTAAAGGGTGAACCTTGATTCGTCACTCCAAAGAACCCGTTTCCACTGATCTACGGTGCAATTTCGATGTGCTTTGCACCACATTAACCGAGCAGCGCGGTTGGACTTTGTGATCAAAGGCTTATGGGCAGCAGCACGACCATGAAAACCAAGCAGATATGCTTCCTTACGGATGGTATTCATTGAAACAATACTCTCGGATGCCTGTTGAAACTCCTGGCGGATGAGGGCCATCAGTTGGGTGCGGTTCTTCCGAATTTCTCTGTACAGCACTCGTCGGTCTCTATCTCCCAGTTTCGTTGGTCTGCCCACTCGGGGCACATTCCAAAAATTACCACTCACCTTCCACTTCTTAATCACATAGGCCACTGTCGATTTTGGGTACTTCAGATCGCTAGATATGTCCGTTAAGGATCGGCCACATTTGTGATACCTGATAATTATACCTTTCTCGAAATCAGAGAGCTCCGAACTGCGAGGCATCTTTCATGCGACTAAAGCCGATGCTGATATATACAGGCATATACATACTACACGATATATACAGGCGGAGTCCGTGACGTACCTTAGGACCGCATATATCGGCATTTGCATAGGTGTCCAAATACTTCTTGGTAGTCAGTGGATAAAGGTGTGATAGATGGAGAATATTTGTATTATAATGTTCTAGTTAATTTACGTGTCTTTGGCTACTAGAACTTTAGTGAAGAGTCTAGCGAATATTCGCTGATCTTCTTACAACTATGAGGATGAATCCAAAGAAGTGATAAAATATACTTTTATTCACTCACAGAAATAATACAGTCGATCCCTTCTCGGTCTTAAAAAGCCTCCACTTGGGCTCTAACTTAAGATACAAAATAAGAAACTAAATTAATTCTAACTAGCTCACTTTTAGCAGAAGCTGTAAAAATTAACTAACCGAGTTGGCCCATAATTAAACCTCACCGGCGAATACTAACATACATGTAAGGCTAGGCCCGAACATAACATAGCAATATAGGCTTAAAGCAACGACGTGGCCCGAAGGTAGAACACGCTGTACTGAGAACTTCTGAGCTTTTCTTTGGACGTCAGACATCGCTGGTGGTTCTTGAGGCATCAACCGCTTGGTGTTTTGACTTCTAGTTGGTGCTGGGCTCTGAGACCTTTGGCTGGAAATAGAAGAATAAGCACTTTTGCCCAACGTAGATTAATATCTAAGTTAAACAAACATGAAAATGTTATTTGCTATATGGGAAATGCAAAATAAAGTTGAAACTTAATAAACATACATGAAGTAGGTTTTATAACAAGAAACTGGATTCTTTCGATGAGGACTTGAAAATTATTTGCCTAGTATAAATGCGCTGACACTAGAATAATAAAAATGTGTTGAGATTAATAATATGGGTTGAAGTAAGGTACAACAAAGTCCTATTCCCGCTTTGTCTGGAGCAAAGTTCATTTCTTCGCAAGTTATATGAAAGTTGAATACATAATAAATGAAAATGAAAAAGGATTTACAGAATTCAAAACAAAAGTCCTAATGCTTTGCCAGTTAAATCACAATCTTTAGTCTAATATCTATTCCTTTGATGAGATTTATTAACTATGAGCAGGGAGGAAAACGAGGTTATTACACTTTTAGCCTGCGTCGGCGAAGTTTAATATGCAGGATTATGATGAAGAGTACGAGGACACTTGAATGGATGCACAGTTGTTGGACCATAGTTTGCGAGTTCTTGCGATATGATGATGTTTCTGAATTTTGTACACTTCTGAACAAGTTATGCGCAGTCATCAATAAATAATCTTGGGCATGAGGAATTTTTTAATCCTGATGTATCTGTTGATTTCTGACAAACCACGGTGAATTTGTTAGGCTTCTAATAATTTTATTTTGAAGGACGATGATCTTACGACGATAATATTTTGGCGCAGTGGCCCAGCACTGAGCTGCATAAAAAAGTATTGGCCGAATTAGAGTAAGATATAAAGTTCTATTAAAATTAAGATTCAATTTTGATTTTCGCCCGATTAAACTGCAGATCGAAATGAAGGTGCCGTTGGCTTTGTTTAAAGCATATACCACATGATCTTCAAACGTTAATTGCTCATCTAGAATGACTCCTAGAAATTTTGTTGAACTGACAACTGGAAGTGGGGAGTTATCTATTGTAATATTAATATTAACTGGCTGATTTTTATGATACCTTCTACACTGAAGTGCCACTGAATTAGAGATACCTACCTAGTAAAGAGTTGAGCCTCCTTTGGCCTTGATAACGGCTGCCACACGACGAGGCATAGATTCAACAAGTTTCTAGAAACGTTCCACGGAAATGGCTTGCCAAATATTGGCTAGAGCTGTCCATAATTCAGTAAGATTCGTTGGTGCTGTGTGATGGACTTTCACGCCTCGTTCTTAAACATCCCAAAGATGCTCAATAGGATTTAAGTCTGGGCTTCTTGGTCGCCAATTTATGAAAGAAAAGTCAGAAAAATGCTCATCCAACGGGCCAATAGCCAATCGGGATTGAGAGAGGTACAGTTGTCTTGCTGGAAAACTCCATTACCGTGCAGATAACAGAACAGCATAAATGGATGGAGGTGATCACTCAGCAACTCCACGTACCGAATTGCATTGAGGGAGGTTGGTACACGCACCAAAGATCCCAAACAGTGCCACGAAAAAACATCCCAGACCATGATTGAGCCACCATGCCCTTGTACAGTTCCAACCTGGCATGCAGGATCCATGGCTTCATGAGCCTGAGGCCATATTCTCAGCCTCTCATTGGCGTTAAGTAGTCGGAATCGAGACTCATCACTCCATGGAGTCCTTTACACTCCAGTCTCTGTGCTCTCTTGCCAAGGCAAAATGTGCAGCTCGATGACGAGCATTGAACGATGGTACTCTCGTAGGTCGACGGCTCTCGAAACCCATACCGTGAAGCGAGCTTTGCACAATTCGTTGACTGGTAATTTGAGCTAATGTTTGGCTACGTACAATACGCCTGATCCGTCTCTCGCCATGCACTGCCAAAGCTAACTGTCCTTTGCAGTTTGCGCGATCGCTAGTTTTTTGTCCACCGTCTATGTATTCTTGGTATACTCTTGACACTGTCGACCTTGAAAATCCTAGCTGTCTGACGATTTCGGAAACTGAATGTCCCATGATTTGTCCGCGATTGAAGGCGTCTAAATCAGGCAGTTTACCCATACTGGCAATTGGAACCAACAAACTAATTTGTGGCAGAAGCAAAACCAATATCCTGCTCTTACCAGTTCCTGATGTAGTCGCGTAGAACTACAGCGAAGAAACCTATAGCATTTTCTCTCGGGGAGGTGGAAATGTGTGGCAGAAACAGAAAAAAGAAGCTTTGCTCCTGTGCTGGTATTTCTTAGATGGATTCCGTCCACAGAGGCGGAGGGAGGAACCGGATGACTTGTGTAGGATAGCAATTACTTGATAACCCCTAAAAACTACAGCGCGCTATAAATACCACAACGGCCTCACTGCGCATAAATGATGCGCAGCGCTACACAATTTGCAAAACCCTTGATATTCCTAATTCAATGTCACTTCAATGTAAATAAAACAATATTGCTTCTCGTCAACGCTGTACGACGTGTTTTCGCGAGCTCGCTTTTCGTCTTTTTATTTTTAGTTAGTTTTGATATAGTTTATACAAGAGTTGTATCAATTTAAAGTTCTTCAAAAGCTGAGCAATTTGATATACATCTGAAGCGATTCCGTTTATTAGTGGTGGATTAATTAAGTCTTTAAGGCAGAAGTCATTGTTCCTATCGCGACCTCGTGATATCTGCTGAGGGTTACCGTGACTCCGTGAAATGCAGTTTTGTGGTGTTTACATCTATTAAGATTTCTCTGCATCTGATTACAGGCATCCAATTTCAATCCTAGTACCATTGGAAAGTGGAAGATAGGATCTCTTCATTGATACCAGTGTTGTGATTGTGAAGTGATTGTGCGATTTATTACA